ATGGGCACTGAGGATTCGGCACAGGACTTTGGCTGGAACAAGCAACAGCAGCAAGCGCAGCTCCAAGACCCGCCAACTTGACTATGTTTGCCTTGAGTTTCTTCTTGGGACCATCACTGGAAGTTGTGCTCTCGCTGGACTGTTCGTCAGAATATTCAGTGCTGCTCATTCTACAAAACAGGAACTGAATCATTGAAAGAGAGCAATTGGAGGCATACAAATTGGAGCTGGAAAGGATCAAATCAGCATTAGAAGCTGAAAAGGAAAGAATATCAGAAGAGCAGAATAATCAGAAACTCACAGAGCAAGAGAGGCAGGAGCACAGCTTGCTGACAGCAAAAGTTAAGAAGGAGATTGAGGAATACAGAATGCGAAGGAACTCCGTATCTGAGGAGATGGAGGATTTGAGGAACCAACGTCAGGAAAATACAAGGACCAGCTGGAGAGTTTGCGGAGTGAGACAACAGTCTATAGGCCCACTCAGCACAAAACAGGTTGCTGAAAAGAATAATCAAGAAACTTAAATAATGGCACATGGAAAACCCCTATCTTGATGTGCCGTGTAGTGTATATCATGGGCAAACCAATTTGCCCAAAAATAAGAGACCAACTAACTCTCACCGATTATATTGTACACTGACAAGAAGATACTCCATCCGTTCCAAATTATAAAACATCTTATAATTTGGGACGGAGGGAGTACAAAGTTACAACTGCATAATATTGTCGGCGAACATTCAGATTGCCATCAACTAAGTATAAAAAAAAGGTGATAGAACTTAGGAAAATATCCACTGACCTCTGGTGCTCCTTGGAGCGCTCAATAAACTCGGCGGCGATATCAGCACTTTGATAGGATGCAAGAACAGCCCTGAAGTCAGCATTACTGATCCATTTCTGCTCACTCGAGATCCTCCGGACTAATAAAACAGAGAAATTATGATGTGTAGGAAGAACGATGTATGGCCAAAAAACAATCAAATCTAAAAGGAAACATACTTCTAATTTGCTGAAACTTGGCAGTATAGGATGTATAGAAAGTGCAGCCTTTCGCTTGAACACGGTATAGCTTGCATACTTTTTGCCAGACAAGTTCTCTGCTTATAAAGGGATTAAGCAAACATCAATATTGAGGTTAGCATTCAGCATGGAAGGTTGATTTAATAAAAGAACGAAACAAAGAATTCACCATCAAGATTTGCTGCTGAAGTTGAAACAGCTTGTAGGAATGTCAAACATATCAAAGCTGAAAAATAACAGAAATGGTCATCAGTGTATAAAACAGCTATTTTTCAGCCATGTTGAATATTAATCGGAAGCAAAAGGTCAATGGACAGAATGCCCAACCTTAGAAAATTCTGGAGTAATTGCAAGTCTGGGATACCGTTTTGTCAAGGACAGATAATCCCTCTCAAGCCCCAACGAAGCGAAATGGCAAAACCTGCAAATAACATCATAGTTAGCATTAAGTTCATTTACAGTTCAATACCTGACAGCCTTCCAACTCACTGAATAGTCAAATGGTATTGCCTTTTTACACAAATATGACTAAATAAATAACATATAAGGAAACCGGGCAGAAGTTTATTATGATGCAATACACGAAGAACAAAGAGTTCATGCCAAACGCTCACGGTACATGAAACGAATTCGAACAAGCAAACACACATCAATTGAAACATTTGAACACTCATGCAAAGAAATTAAACGAAGGATGCCTAAACATCAGTGTTGCTGCAGTTCCATTTGTCTACTTGTTTTCCCAATTAAAGGTGATCCAAGTCAGTCGGCCTTCGCGTGTTTTCATGGTTAGGAACGTCCTACGGTTGAGTTTCTTCCTGCATAGGTACGTGGCTCTCAGGAACTCCTCGGTCCCCTCTGGAAAACCATCTTGCTCTAAAATTTGACGCACTTGGTCCATCTCCTTTTCCTCCCGGCTGAGTTGTTGGCCACCCGATGCCATCTCTTTCACGGTGTCTGAGATGTCTCTCACGCAGTCCTCCAAGCTGGCACTCTTCTTTTTCTGCGGGCTGTCCACCACGTGGTCCCTGGTGTGCCTTTTGGACGACTGACCAACACTGGATCCAGCTACAAAGTCCTGTGACATAGCTGCATGAGTGGCTTCGGTCATCCGTGGCGGTGTCCTCTCACGGTGCCCACCGGCACTGAGCATTGTGCCCCTATCTCTGGGTTGGTACCCATACAGAGTGGCCAGTTCATCAAGGAACTCTGGTGGACGCCCGGGATCCACACCTTCCTCAGTAGGGTCCTGCAGGTGAACAAGATAGTTATTCGAACAGTACATGTCATTGCACGAGTAGATCCAAAGAATAGATGAAAGGAGTTACCTCTTCCGCTTCTTGGAACAAGCTGGGATCAGCTGTGACAGCTCCAGTTTGGGGGTCACGTCCGAGGCTTGTATGGGTCATACGGTCGCGCCAGGCGAAGTAGTGTCGCCGCATGGCCGATAGCTTGTTCTGCAGCTTCTTATTGGCCAACTGAAGGCCAGTTTGTGAGGCGAATCCGCGGTACACATTTCTCCATCCCAGTTTAGTTAAGCCCCACTCGTTGAAGTTCATTTTGTTCTTCTCAGCAATGCAAAGGTCCAGGAGAATTTTCGTCTCCTCATAGCCCCAATGGGCTCGGTCGCTGGACGTCTGTCCATGATTCCCCGACATCTGTACCCAGGTAGTTGTTATTATCTGATTACATTTGGATTTCCAGTTGTTATAATTTGAGGGCTTCATAATGCTTGTTTCATGGCTGTCTTTATTGTCTATCCTATCTGACGTATATAAATTTTGAACTACTAAGTAGTAAGTAAAATATTGTAAATGGGGTTAAAAGGCTAATGAAATCTCTGCAGATCGAACGCTCACATTTCAAGAATGCAGTAATGAAATCTCTGACCTGTGATCACTAAGACCAAAAAAGACTATATTTTAGGAGAAACCATTCAGGGAGGCCCCTAGTGTGGTATACTTGAATAAGATAACAAACATGAAGTCGTATACAAAATGGACAAATAAAGGATATACATTTAGCAATTCACATGATGACTGTAGGCCTGTAGCCATTGAACTATTTATTTTCTGAGGGAATATTTCACCCGAGGGAAATTTCTTTTTCAAAGCCTCCTTCCATGAATCATATATATGATGGCAATTTCTTTCACACTAGGGATATGCACAAATGATGGTGTAGTGGTTTCCACACAAAAAGATGTCAACCGTTTTGCCAGGGTAATTTCATTCCCATTTCTTCTCCTATGTATTCTATGAAAAAATACACACCCTAAGAGTAACATTTGTAAGAAAGACACCTTCTCCAGGACATTGGAGCTATTAATACAATTATTAGAAGGACTGATGGGGAACTTTTAGGATGCAATACGGACTATTCTGGTGCTATTTCTGCTATTGAGGATGGAATAAGAGTACACTTGCCTTTTCAAGCAACTTCGCGCGTTTCGAACGCCGGTAGTAGTGCCTGGCTTCAGGTGGCGAGCACGACGAAGAGGACGACTGTGCCAGTGTGAACACCGTTGCACAGGAGGCGTTTTAAACTTGAACAAACCGCTGAGAGGGGATCCGTGAAGAAGCGAGGAGCGGCGCAAAAACCCTAGGCGCGGCGCGATGGGGAATGGAATGGGGGAGGGCGCGCGCGGGTTCGGTCCTCCGCTTGTGGGTCTGCCGAACGGCTGCGGGAGCTGGCTGATTTCGGTTACTGTAGCAGTCGGTGCAGCCCAGCCGAGATCAGCCAACCGTGGAGCAGCCGAACAGATTGGATTATATCATCCATCTCAAAGAAAGGAAAAAAAATGCTACCTGTATATGTACCATATAAATGGCCGGAGTAGTACTATATGGTGTCTCAAAATAAAAAAAAAGGTTTTGGAATTGCAAGTTGAAGGAGAGATTCAGATCATGTATTACTCCGTATTTACTGCTGGCTGGTTTGATGTGAGAGAAAAATATTATTTTAGCTTATAATCTAGGATCGTATACGAGCAAGCGACTGACCTAAATCTAATGATGACACCGATGAAAGTTAAACCTGAAATTGTACTGCACGCTGTCCTCGCCGAAAAGGAGATGCACGATCGCCGACGATCGAGTTACGTTTGGGCGGCAGATCCATGGAACCACAACGTGCACCGCTCCCCTTCTCCACGTGTTGCTTAACAACCAATTCCAAGACGCGCCGGCCGGTACGGTGTACCGTGTACCACGGCCTGCCCCGCCGCATTCGCGTCCACGTCCACGTCCGTCTCACACGCCCAAATGGCCAAACGCGTGCGTGTGCGTGGCACCGACGCGCGACACGTATACCTTATATTATACCAGTGGACTACCACAAGCGTTGCCGCAGAAATTACAGATTAATGAATGGTATGGTACGATGACGTGGACAATAAAATACTTATGTGTTTTGTTGATATGAACATTACAGTTGCATGTGTTAATTCTATGTGATAGTACACTATCTAGTTGGACAATTTACATATTGAGATAAATAGCTAGTGAAGTTTTGCTTTATAAGAGTACAAGATATAGTATCATTAGTATATATATGTAAACATCATCAGCGCCTAATACCGTACAATTGCAGCCAGGATTAAGAATAATCTCATCCAAGAAGAGGCCGGAGTGTGCACTGGAGACACGTACACTATTTTAATCGAATGACTCAAGAGAAACACGGCTATAAATAAAAATTAAAGCTATAGAAGAATACACTTAGCTTCTAATTTCACTTTATTTTAGCCATAAATAATTTATAAATAAATTGTCCTCTTACACCTTTATTTATTGCCACCACCGCACAACATCTCTCTCTCACTCTCTCTACCTTCTCTCTCTTAATTAAAGCGGCGAAGACTTGCACACAAGTTCAACGCTAGCTATCGCCCATAGTCCCCATCTAGCTCCTCTCCATTCTCCATTGCACGCTTGACTACCTCACCCCGCCCTCCCCGCAGACTACTCCGGCCGATCACCATGTCTGGAGGCGGCGACAGCGTCGGCGGCTATGGGGGCCTCTACCACGGGCACGACGATCCAGCTGACCAGCTCATCACAGCCTTGGACCACGACGGCGGCGGCTTCTTCTTGCAGGACACGGTCTCGCCGTGCGCCGGGGGCGGCTCGACGCCGTACGCGAGCATCGCGGACTACCTGAAGGGATTCCTCGACCCTGCGGGCCTGGCCGCGCACTTCGGCAGCGACGACGCGCCGCCGCCGTGCCGATTGGGCGGCGGCGCCGACGACGGTGTGGTGGTCAAGCAAGAAATGGTTGTCCAGCTGAGCGGCGGTAGCCGCCGTGACGACGACGTCGACGGTCAGCTGGCCGGCGCGGCGCTCGTCGCGCCGGCCAATTCGTCGGTGCTGTCGTCGTCCAGCTGCGAGGCGGGAGCTGGTGCCGACGACGACGAGGAGGAGCCGCCGCGCCGGCGGTGCGGCAAGAAAGGTAGGATCGAGGGAGAGGAGGAGCAGGAGGAGGAAGAAGGAGAAGCTGATGATGATGCAGCCGATCGGAACTGCAAGTAAGTCTAGAATTATATATCTGGTGCAAAACTAGCTACACACTATATATGCTTAAATTAAATTTTGATGTTCATCTTCTTGATGATTATAGTAGTAACAAGCTTAGTTTATAAACATCAAGGGAATAAGGAAAATTCGCTTTCAAGTGTTAGATATATTTCTTCTTAATAATTCTTTTTTGCTTATTAAATAACACAAAGATCCCACCGTGTTTATACCGGTCTGGTGTGAACACAAAGGGCTTAGGGTTTGCCACCTAACTTGACCGACAAACGAGCCCTCCAAAAAAACACTCTTTTACGACAAAATAAGCTCACTCTTGGCAATTTATTTATTTAAAAAAAACATGGTCCGAGTTGGGTACTCTGTCCATGAACATATAGTTTCATTTAGCATGATCTCCAAAAATTAATTAAGCTATGGCTATTATTTTCTTACCTATGTATTAGAGTATATAATGTATAGATTTGATATGTTTTAGGTGTCTTCAACTTTCTTGCAACAATCTTTGATAACCAAACTAGTACAATTAAAAGGACAATTCATAAGAGACAGTTTATAGTTCTTTTCTATAGTCAAACAATAACAAATATTAGTAGCATCATAAATCTAGTAATACTTATTGTTCATCATAAACATTAGTAGCTTTTTAAACATATTTGATCAAACTTAAGAACGTTTGATTTGATTTCTCGGCAAACGAGATTTTATTTATTTTACGGAGGGAGTATATAAGAGTAGCTTTTGTACGCAAACTGTACCTATAACTCCATTAAGTTCTTCATTCATCCTAGATAAATCAATTTCTAGAGTTCTCTTGAGTCAAACTGCTCTAAGTTTGATTGAATTTATACAAAACGGTGTCAAGTTTTATGCAATCAAATATATATCATTAAATACACCATAAAATATATTTTTTATAATGTGCTCATTTGGTGTCATAAACATAAACATTTATGTTCTTTTTTTTATAAGTTTGGCCAAACATAAAAAGGTTTGACTTAGCTAGGACAGCTCTAAAAACTGATTTATCTAGGGACAGTTGTATTTTTCATTTCATTGGTCCCATTCATGAGGTACCGGTCCTGATGACGACTTTGCAGGCAGTAGGTACTAGTTCCATGTGGACCAATATAATTTGTGGTCAGCTGTGTTCCTCTCCTCCCCTTCCTTCCATCTTGTCGTACCTACTGTACACTGCTGCTGAGACTTGAGAGTGTGCCCTGCCCGGCCTGTCCTTGACGATGTGTACATTGGCCAGCATGCAATAATGCATGTTTAATTCATTTGTTCACATCACATTATTTTCAGGATCAGGAGCAACAAAGAGAATGGTAATAATAAGAAGACGAGAGGTGAGAATAAGGCGCGGGAGCCCCGTGTGGCGTTCATGACCAAGAGCGAGGTCGACCATCTCGAGGACGGCTACCGCTGGCGCAAGTACGGCCAGAAGGCCGTCAAGAATAGCACATACCCAAGGTATATATCGAACATGCATCGCACAATTAATTCCTTGGTTCTTTCTTGTGTGTCATGACCATGAACGACCATGTGTATATATATAGTAGTATAGTCGTCGCATATGCACCATGCACGCTACACGCAGTTATTATAGTACATGCAGTACAAACCAGCTGCACGCTGTTCATGCATGCAGGAGCTACTACCGGTGCACTGCGGCGCTGTGCGGGGTGAAGAAGCGGGTGGAGCGGTCGCAGCAGGACCCCTCCACGGTGATCACCACGTACGAGGGGCAGCACACGCACCCGAGCCCCGTCGGCCTCTTCAGGGGCGGCGCCCTCATGCTCTCCGCCGTTGCCGGCGGCTTCCGCCGCCCCGACCTGCTCACGATCGACGACTACTACGCTGGCACGCCGCCGAGCAGCTTTCTGCCGCTTCTTACTCCCGGGGGCATCGGTGGTGGTGGTGGTGGCCTGCTGCACCCCTCGATATGATGCGGCTTCTTCTCCAAGAGCCGCAGCATCACCGAGCTCGTTCCTCGCAGCTGGCAGCCATGGACACGTATGGCGGCGTGCTGGACTTCATTCCTTCCATTCCGCGATGAGCAATGGCCAACGAGCATATATACGACGTCGCCCACTTTTCCAGGCCAGCTAGCGTATATATATATATATATATTTGTCACTTGAGTCGAATTCTAAATTATTTCTACTGGAATCAAAGTGTTTGCTTACAAAACGAAGTCCTAGCTCTGCAAGAGTTGCACCGGTGATCTTTATTTGGTTTGTGTTGGATCTTGGCGCGGCGAACCACCCAAGCCAAGACCTTTTAGCTTGACCGTCATTAGCAACACGGTCGAGATCGATCGTTCCTTCCTTTTCACTAACTACAGTCAAAACTGAATGTTGAATCTCTTCATTACATATGCCAGACGAAGGCAAGATGCACGGATGAGCTGAATATGAATGATGCTTGGCCATGCTGATGAAGATGAACATACAACAGAGTTTCTTCTGTATGGGGTATCTATACTTTCATCAGCACATTGTTTCTTAAACCTGACTGCCCTTTCTTCGATCTGTAGTGGCTTGTAATTGCTTCTTAAACCTGACTGCCCTTTTTTCTGGTTTCCTGCAATACATGTGTCTGCTAGACTACTGCTACTGTCACACAAATGGAATCAAGGATTCAACAGAACTGTATGATCAAACCAAATACGCATTCTAGCAATTGGCACTGTCAGCGCCGGTTCGTTATCTGTTATCTACGTTAACGCAATTTCCTTATCTACGTTAACGCACTGACTATCTCAACCATGGATGTTCAATACGTCAGCGGGAATTGGAATGAAATTTCCTTATCTACGTCAACGTTCTTCCTTGTGAGCGGGGGCGGGGGCCAGCGCGACGACATTAAACACCGTAACAACTCTGCATCGGTGTTCAATACGACGACCATGCGAAGACTAACCTTGCCGACTGATCACAGGGACAGTGACTGATGAGTGAGCACTCAAACTGTCTACACTAGCGACGACCCCCACGATCCCGCTCCCACACCTTGATCCAATTTCCAACCGGACTAGCTCATCAGCTCGAAGAGTCGCATGGCTCCGCCTCTCCCTCTCGTCGTCCTCGTCTTCCTCGCGGTGACGACCGTCGTCCAGCTCTCAGCTGCTGCGGGTGCGGGGGCGCCAGTGGTGTTCCCCAAGGAAGCCATGCCGACGAAATCGGGGTACCTCCCCATCCCGCCCGCCAACGCCTCCCTCTTCTTCGCCTTCTACGAGGCCTCAGACCCGGTCACGCCACCGGCCTCCACGCCACTCCTCCTGTGGCTGCAGGGCGGGCCGGGCTGCTCCGGCCTCCTGGGCAACTTCTTCGAGCTCGGCCCCTACTTCGTCAACCCCGACGGCGAGACCCTCCGGCGCAACCCGTTCGCGTGGAACCGCCGCTTCTGCCTCCTCTTCATCGACAGCCCGCTGGGCACCGGCTTCAGCGCGGCGCCGTCCCCGGCCGACATCCCCACCAACCAGTCCGTCGTCGCCGCGCTGCAGTCCTTCTACGCCCTCGACCCGAGCCTCCGCGCGCGGCCGCTCTTCCTCACGGGCGAGAGCTACGCGGGCAAGTACGTCCCCGCGGCGGGGGCGCACATCCTGGACGCGAACGCGGCGCTTCCCGAGGCGCTGCGCGTGAACCTCCGCGGCGTGGCCATCGGCAACGGGCTCACGCACCCGGTCGCGCAGGTGGCCACGCACGCGGACTCGGCCTACTTCCTCGGTCTCGTGAACGCGCGGCAGAGGCGGGAGCTGGAGGCGCTGCAGTCCGTGGCCGTGTCGCTGACGCTGGCGGAGCGGTGGGTCGCGGCGGCGGACGCCCGGGACTGGAGCGGGTGCTGTCGCGGCTGCAGAACATGACGGGGCTCGCCACGCTGTACGACTACGCGAAGCAGCGGGCGTACGCGACGGACGCCGTGGGGGCGTTCCTTAACCGCGCCGAGGCCAAGGCCGCGCTGGGCGCGCGCGGGGACGTGGCGTGGGCGGACTGCAGCGACGCGGTGTTCGCGGCGATGAACGGCGACGTGATGCGCAACGTGAGGCCGCAGGTGGAGTCGCTGCTGCGGCGGGGGCGGCGCGCGACCCGCGTGCTGCTGTACCAGGGCGTCCGCGACCTCCGGGACGGCGTCGTGTCCACGGAGGCGTGGCTCGCCGGGGTGCGCTGGGACGGCCTGCGCGCGTTCCTGGACGCCCAGCGCGCCGTGTGGCGGACCGGGGACGGGGAGCTCGCGGGCTACGTGCAGCGGTCGGGCGCGCTGGCGCACGTGGTGGTGTACGGCGCTGGGCACCTGGTGCCGGCGGACAACGGCCGCGCGGCGCTGGAGATGATCGAGGGCTGGGTGCTCGGGACGGGGCTGTTCGGGAGCCGCGGTGGTGGCAACGGCAGGAGGCGCGCAGCCTGATGCCGCCGGTGGCTGCGGTGTCCGGTGTCGAATATGGAACGGGGTTGGGCTCGGCTTTCACTCCTGATGATGTGGCCCAACGCAAAATGTGTAGTTCCAATATAGGATTCTGTTGTGGCCAGTGTTTACTATTTTCAGTGAAAAGAAAAGATAAATCCGTAATGTTTAGTGAAAAGAAAGGAAATGCAAGTAGCACTGCGTGTGTGTATTCTGGGAGATTAACATTTGAGTCTCATCAGAGTTGGCTCCAACAGTAATTTTGGTAGGTCAGGTCAGTCCTGGGCCACCACGAGATGGAGATTTTTTTTGAATGAAACCACGAGATGGAAATGGAATGGAAGATTTCCAGCTGCAGTTGTGACGGTCAGCAGTCAGCCAGTCACGCTCTGACAACAAATCAGGGCCGACCGCCGTTGCTGCCGGCCCAGTCGGCCTCAGGCCGACGCGTGCCGTATTCCTGGCGAGTATCTGCAGATAGGACAAGAGCGAGGTGTCAGCACAACGTTGACGCTGCGCGGCGTGCGATCGTGACGCCCTTGTTTAGTTGCATGAATTTGGATTTTGGGCTACGGTAGCATGTTCGTTTTTATTTGATAAATAGTGTTCAAACATGGATTAATTAGGCTCAAAACGTTTGTCTCGTAATTTCCCACCAAATTGTGCAATTAGTTTTTCTTTTCGTCTATATTTAATGCTCTATGCACGGGCCGTAAACATTCAATATGACAGGTACTGTAGCAACTTTTTAAAATTTGGGTTCCAACTAAACTGACCCATCGGTGAAAACGACGGAGAAGTCTCTCTGGCACTCGCAGTCTCCTTCGCTCCCTCCGCAGTCTGCACTCGCATTGCACGTCGCTCCACTAGCTAGTAGTACCAGCTACGGTCTACGGACGCCTGCGTGCATTGTGTGTTGGGCTACGGATTCCATGGAAACTCACGAACGAAACCAAGAGGGTGATCGCGTGTTCCCCAATCTGCTGCAGGCTAGTTGGATCCCTTGGGGAAAAAAAACCGCACTGTCACTGTGGTACAAATTATAAGAGAATTTTGTTAGTTTCAAAAAAAAGAGAATTTTTTGTCCGTAACATGTAAAAAAGTTAACACAGCACACTCTACTTGTACTCACCAGATTACTTCCAAGCACCCTACAAGCACTAGTACTCAATCAAAAGATCATATTGGCCCGTTCGTTTCGCTGAAAAAATAAGCCGAAACACTGTTCCGGCTGATTTGTTGTGAGAGAAAAATACTGTTCCGACTGAAAAAACAAGCTGAAAAATACGGATTATAAGAGAAGCAAATATGACCATTGTCCTTCGATCCTCCCTCTCTACTCCAATCTCTATTCTCTTCCTCTCTCCCACACGAAGTGGTTTCACCTAGCATTGTCACCCTCCCTTTCTATGTATAGATTTTTACAGGAACCTCTTCTACATATATGGCCACACAACTTGATGCTCGTGAGCTAGCCCACGGTCCGCTGTTTTGGCTTGGCTTAGGCACAGCACGTCCCGACGCCTAGCGTCCCTACGCCAACCCGATCTGTTCTACAAGCCATGCCTAGACTGCTCCCCCATCATCGTGTGCTAGCTTGACCCGGTACAACTAAATGACGACCCGACATGACCCGCTACGCCCTGCAATATACAACCACGTTGTCATACCCCTTAACCCTAGCACCCCACCCGTGCCCCCTTGCTCCCGCATTGCCTTCTCCACTCCTTGCTCCGCCTAGGCCATCAGTCCCACTCCTCCATCTCGAGTCAAGGAATCTAGTCGGTCGGTCGTCGAAGCTGCCTATTTTGGCTATCTTTACCAATCACCTCTCCCCTCTGCTCCTCTCCTCCCCACTTTTTCTTGGTCCCTTTGTAGTGACAGGCAGTGATCTTTGTTTCTGGTTTTGTCGTGGGTACGTGTTGGTGCTGACCGAAGTGCTGATGCTTGAAACGACCTGATTTCCGCGAAGGAAAATCCACATAGTCGAAGTGTAATAAGACCGTTGTAGATCATATTACCAAAATTCTAGTCAAATATCACATCCATACAACGTAATATCAGAGTGCAAATAGTACGGAATTACATAAATTATCACATCGCCGCATTGGCGGAATCAAAGTAGCATTCATTCAGAATAGCTTGAAGATAAGATCGCCAAACTCGAGCGTAGGAACGAACCCCTCAACCGTCAAACTCCTCAGAGCTATACTCCTCAGCAGAACCTGTGTGCCAAAGTTTATCAGTACAATTTGTACTGGCCACTCCCACCCTATGAGCATTGCTTTGTGGAAATTGGATGCAAGTTGGATATAATCAAAAGGAACCTATAAGGCTGGGGTTTCCTATGTATTAGCATATCAAGTATATAATAATAGTTGGTCAAGTTTTAACACCATTTCCACACCTATTCCACCCCATTTCTGTCCAGAGCCAGGTTTCGATCCTGGGATCGATATACCACCATCTCCACACCATCACCATATCACCACCATACCATCGCTCAGTCGACAGGCCAACTCCCTCTTGGCACTATCTCATGCCCCGTAGCCCCTGGCTACGACCGAACACTCACTCACAGGGGAAGAAGAGAAGGACTCATCTCACTATCTAGTTTAAGCGAAACCTAGAAAAGGTCCATAGCCGACAAGTCGGCATATGTATCGATCGATCAACCATACACTCTGCAGAGGTTTTACATAACCACAAGATCCGCCTTCCTCGCTGACCGTCGTCAACTGGGCTGATTCCGTCCGCTTGCTAGCCTAGGATAATGTCACCCTACCATTCAGCCTTGGTACACTCCAAGTCTAGTCTGGGGTGGCTAAAACTGTGAGTCACGAGCCGGATCCACAAGGTCTCCGTGAAGTCTCGGAAGGGTGTGGGGGAATCCTCCGCGCCCCGTACCTCCTCGCACTGTCCGCTATCAACCTAGCAGTAGTGGCAATATCCTACCAAGTAGTCCAGCCGTCCTGCACCATATAGGGCGAGTGGTATGTAAGGCTTCCCGGTGAATCTGAGTACTAGTAAGTCCTTAGGGATGACCAAGCCAGAATGTCTTCATCAGGGTTTCCATTTACCGTGCCACCACAGCACCTCCACCTTGGGCTCCTCCCATCACAGGTTCACACCTAGGGCCACCTCATATACCATTTACCCACCACAGGTATCCATTTCCAGGGTGCCCAGGTAGCACCTCGCGGCAAGACTTGCCCCAGGCTCGTCGTATATTCCAACTTGGTTGACACAACCCTCACCCTCCACGCACCCAAGTCACACACGCAGCACTCTCCCCATAGTCCAGATAACACCAGTTTCCACCACGCATCAATGTAGTACAAGCGTAGTAGAAGTAATAAGCAATGAAATATAGCAGCAAGCATGTGTCTAGCCTAATAGCAGGGTAAGCAGGGGTAAGGTTGCGTCAAGGTATAGGCCATCAAGTAAGCATACTACCATACAAGTCCTATCAGTGTGAATATAACAATAAAGTAAAGCAATAGCAGTTCTATATTAGCCATGCGTAATAGGTGCTACGAGGTTGGGTGAGATGTGGCACCTTCAGTGAAGTCGTCCCCGCACTCCTCACGGTACTCACGATCCTCGTCCGTCTGGTTCTCCTCCGAGTCTGCATACGATCAAATTATAGTCGCGTTAGCGACGTTTATAGAATAGCACAAAGAAGCAATGAAAATTCAAAAGAGCCAAATGCACTCAAACATGGGTTCATTGCGTAGAGCTTGATTTTAGATGAATTTTGGTCCTGGTTTCATATTTTTCTGAGGTCGTATGAATTAGTTATGAATTTCCAAAGATTAAATCCATTTCTGAAAATAATCAAGGCTGATTAATTCAGGGCTAACACGTGTCACACTGTGACTGGTTCACGTGGTATGCTGACGTCAGCATGGCATCATCAGAGCTAAACCACGGCTGACAGGTGGGTCCCGCCGACGTCATCATGACGTCACCTCCTGACATGTGGGTCCAGAGTCTCTGTGTCGCTGACATGTGGGCCCCGGTCAATGGTCCACCAGGCTGGGTCCAAACTGGGCCGGTTGGGCCTGGATACGGGCTGGGCTTTGGCCCGCCACGTGGCGCGCGCTGGTGCGGCCACGTCGTCTTACTGGGCCACTAACGGGCCGTGGTCCACGGGCGCAGGTGAGGCGCGGTTCATGGTGAACCCGCCTGCGTTGGTCCATAGACCGCAGAGCCGGTCTATGAAGGACTTGGTCCACTTACTCCTTCCCAGGATTCGGTTCACGTGCACCAAGTGCACGGATGTGTGGCCGGCGAGGAGAAAATCCCCTTCTCTTCCCCGACGGGGCTCCCGCCGGCGGTCAGGTCACCGGCGAGCCCCCGCGGCGGCGCTAGCGTCTGATTAGGGTAGGCATTAGCTTCCCCATGCCATGGCGACTGCGACGGTGGGGTCGGGGCGACGGCTAGGGCTTCCTAGGGCTCTAGCCACGGTGAACGGTGGCTCAGCGTGGCGGTGTTCGTCGGCGAGGCATCTAGGGGCAATTCCAGGGGTCCTGGTGCCCCGTCTTCCTTCAGACAGTTAGCGGGGGGGCATAGTGTAGCGTCAACGACGACCATAAGGCGCGGTGGAGTCCGCACGCGGTGGTGGTGCATGGTGGAGCTCCGCCCGAGGTTTGATGCACGTGGCCAAGGCGCTGCGGCCGGCTAACGGCTTCTTGGTCTATACGGCTATCATCCAGGTGTCACGGCGGTGCTCTACGGCCACTCCTAGTCCAGCGAGGCGGCCGGATGCGCATGCGGTTGCCACGCCATGGCAGCGGCATTCCGCGGTAGGGTAGCTCCGACATGCCCCATGGTTAGGGTATCTCCCATGCTCTCCTCATCACTAAATGGGTGCATCACGTGTTCGCGGGCTTGGCGAAGCTCGTAGCGAGGTCGGTGTTGGCCGCGATGGCGCGTAACCGCACCGTGGTGACCTCGCCATGGGGTGTTGCGAGCGCGGCGAGCGCGTGCCTTGCGATGGC